GTCGCGAAATCTGAGTTGGATCGGATATCGTGAGCTGCGCGAATCTTCCAGCGAGTTGATCTGTTGTAGTTGCCAAAATAGAATGGTCTTCATGGTGATCCGAATCTTCGATGAGACGGCTTTGGAGCTTGCCATTGTCACCTGCCTCGCAGATCCATGAACCGAAGATGAAGGTTGATCCCATCGAGAAGATCATGTTGTCGAGGTCCGTTGAGCTCTCGGATGCATATTCGCCGAAAGCCCCTACCTGGCACGCCAGCTGTCGATGTTTCACCACCGATAGCCTACAACAGGGGTACCCGGGGCAGTTTGTTCGGGCTTCAGCGTATGTGGAACTCGACGGTAAACACAAGAGACCGTCGATTTATCCTGGTTCGAACCCTTGATCGTTGATCGAGTAATAGCCCTACGTCCAGTCGGCGTTAGCCTTTGCGTTAGATTGATTGTGAAGTATTGTGTCGTAAAGTCCCGTCTCTAGGAACCCTGCCCTCCTTTATATAGTCAGGAGGCCAGAGTCCTAGTCGGTTTACAATAAAAGTTTCTAGTAGGATTATGGAATAATACTACTACTAAGATTACATGAGAAGAATCCTAATTCGACTAGATCTTCTCCCTTCCTTGCGGGGTATCCCGTGGGTCTCGCATCGACAGGTCGATTGATATACTTTTGTTCTTTGAATCACATTTTGTAAAATGATAATGAAACACTTTCTTCTCTTAAGGCTCCACACACAAACACAAAAAGTGCTATTAAGGGTTATCAAGAAATGTTGTGGAGAAGACAATTTGTCCGATTTTTTTTGTTTTTCGGCCTTTTTTTGAAAGATTTTGATAAATACATCCCTAGAAGTATCCTTTCAAAAAATAGACCCTGACCTCGGCGCCGTGATAATTAGGGCCGAGCTTACACGTCTCGGCGCCAATTGTTGTGGCGCCGAGGTCCAGGGTCATTTTCTGCGTGTCGTTGACGTGGCTGCTTGCGTGGCGCAGACGTGGCATGAGCTCGGCGCCGTGGATCTTGGCGTCGAACTCGACGCCGTAGATCTTGGCACGAAGCTATTAACAACATGTTCGCTTGTTGGTTTCAGCCAGGGCTTATCAGCCAGCCAATAGTATTTCCCTCTCATAACAAACCAACACCAGTCGGGCTTATCAGCCTAGAAACCAACCAACAAACAGACTATAAGAGTAGAGAGGAGAGGCGCATGGAGACCTGTGACCTGTGTGCATGTGCCCCAATGGAGAGAGAGGAGAGGCGCAAGGAGACCTTTTGCTGCACGCTTTCCATGGAAGAGAGAGCAGGAGGCACAGGAGTCCTGTTACTATACGCATATGCACGAGAGAGAGCAGGAGGCACGGGCAGCGCAAGCTACACTGTACGCGTACGCTGCCACACATATTAAAATTTTCAACATTTACAATAAACATACTTGTGTTACACAATTATTCTACATATTTTTTTCTCGTTTTAGCTACCCCTTCATTGAAAAATGAGGTCTATATTTAAATCAAATCAATTCTTTATAAAATCAACTAAATTTATAAAAATTTAGGTGCACAGACAAGAAGAGATTAATTGTGAGTTAAGTCTTCTCTTTTAGGTGCCCCCAGCAATTTACTCTGCTTACTCAGCGCTAAACTGCTCAACCCCCTCCCTGCATTGCTCCGAGCTAGCAGCCAGTGCATGGTGATCTGTGTGCCAGTGAAGCCACCAGCTGCTGCATGCGCCCCAACAAAGAGTAGAGAGAATTGTTGTTGCACGCATATCCACGGGAGAGAGGTAGAGAGACCAGACGCCCAGCTGCTGCATGTGCCACAAGGAGAGTAGAGAAGACCGCGTATCCACGGGGACAGAGCCAGAGAGCCCAGCGCGGAAGTGGGGAGTGCATGCACGGGCGTCATAATCTAGATGGAATTGTGGTAAACGTAACTCTTTTCATTAAAAAAGAATTTTCAGATCACCATAGTTATTAAACCATATATTTAATTCATAATCTGATTGAACCTCTGTTCTCCTTATAATTCTATCTACAAATCAAGACCAATATTGACTATATTTTATAAAAAGAAATTTACCAAAATGTGGGTCCCACCTATCATGTTCACATTTAAGCTTAGAGCATAACATGTACGTATTAATAATATACCGATTCTGTAACTGCATATGTATTTTGATCTGCTCGTTTTGTTTGGAGAGTCGCAAAATCTGCATGCAGCGGCCGGTGCGGGAACGCCTTTTGCGCCTGAATGGCTTTGCATGCAGCCATGCAGGGAGGGGGTTGAGCAGTTTAGCGCTGAGTAAGCAGAGTAAATTGCTGGGGGCACCTAAACGAGAAGACTTAACTCACAATTAATCTCTTCTTGGTCTGTGCACCTAAATTTTTATAAATTTAGTTGATTTTATAAAGAATTGATTTGATTTAAATATAGACCTCATTTTTCAATGAAGGGGTAGTTAAAACAAGAGAAAAAATATGTAGAATAATTGTGTAACACAAGTATGTTTATTGTAAATGTTGAGAATTATTATTTATGATCAATTAGGTAATAATCACAAGAGGTGTCTTTTCACCCCTTCCTCTCTTTCACGCTTGTAATTGTCCACATTGACTCTCTCTCTCTCTCTCTTTATATATATACACAGACGTCATTTTGCATCGATTGATTTGTCTCGCTCTCTCTACTCTTAACAGTAAATAATACTCACTCCGTTCTAATTTTAGAGGCACATAAGAAATTTTCACAAAGACCAAGAAATCTTAACCCTCTTGATCCCATTTATTACTGGCCAAAACACGCTTTGTTTTCTTGCTTCATGTTTTTGGGAAGTAAAAGAGCTGAATGCATGCAGTTGAAAATTTTAATGTGTGTGGCAGCGTACGCATACAGTGCAGCTTGCGCTGCCCGTGCCTCCTACTCTCTCTCGTGCATACGTGTGTAGTAACATGACTTCTGTGCCTCCTGCTCTCTCTTCCATGAAAAGCGTGCAGCAAAAGGTCTCCTTGCGCCTCTCTTCTCTCTCTCCATTGGGGCGCGTGCACACAGATCATAGGTCTCCATGCGCCTCTCCTCTCTACTCTTAATAGCTCGGCGCCGAGCTCGGCGCCAAGATCTACGGCGCCGAGCTCGATGCCAAGATCTACGGCGCTGAGCTCATGCCACGTCCGCGCCACGTAAGCAGCCACGTCAACGACACATAGAAAATGACCTTGGACCTCGACGCCAAATCAACGTGTAAGCTCGGTGCCAATTGTCACGACACCGAGGTCAGGGTCTATTTTTTGAAAGGATACTGTCAGGAGCGTATTTGTGAAAATCTTTCAAAAAAGGGCTGAAAATAAAAAAAAATCGGACAATTGGTTGCATCCTTTTGGAGTACAAAGAGGGAGACATGAGCATTCATGTTGAGTCTTGAACTAAAATTCAGATGGACAAGATTGTTTGACTAAGATCATAACTTCTATTTTTTTCACTCATCTTCTACTAATAAGCAATATAAATAAAATGAAGATCAAAGAAAATAATTTCTTACATTTTGTTTTTGTCATTAGAATAATGGATCTTTTAGATGTAATGTAATACTTCCTTCGTTGTTATATAAATGATAGAATTAGTTAAGGAGCTTTTCGAGCCATATATATCACAAGATAACGTTGTTAGTAAAGTAGCAGAGAAATGTCATTTCTAGTTCTTATGCACATGTGTACATATAGGGAGTACCTGCTCATCCCTTCTAATTAATGTTGATTATTATATTGTACCTTTTTCCGTAGACAAACTCTTCATTATCTACCTTTTAATTTGCGTGGATTTCACAAAAAAACGTTGATATGGTAACATGTATCACAAAAACATACATATTTGTGCTCGTTACCCCAAAACAACACATTTTAAGGCTTCATCCCTTTTAATGTTGACAATACTATACCTTTTTTCGTAGATAGACTTCCATTATCTCCCTTTTGAGTGAATTTCACAAAAAATGTTGCTATTGTAATATGTATCACAAAAATACATATTTGTGCTCATTTTCCCAAAAACAACACATTTTAAGGCTAAAATGTTTTTTTGTGAAGTTGATATTCAAAAGTGTGCTTTTAAAAAACTAGTTTTTGATAATGTAGTTTTTTTTAATCCTAGCATAGTTTTTGAGTAGTTTAATTTTCTATCTCTTGTTAATAATCATAAATAAGAAAATGCATTTAACAACTATCTAGTAACATGCTTGGTTATTTCCACTTTTTATACATTTAAAGAAATAGTTGCATGGGCTCTGAAATAATACAAGAAGAAACAAAACGATGATGCACCTCCTCCACCCACCTAAAATTTAGAATGTGTGATATGGCAAGGTTGTAGATAATTTTGGGTTGCTTTTTACAATACAACAACCACCATTTACATGCAAGATGCAATTTTCAATGAACTAGAACCTGTGAGAGCAATTTTACACAATTACAAGTACTCGTGGTTTTAATTCACATAACTACAAGATCACGCGTGAAACTAAAGCAAAGAAAATTAAAACTGAATCCATTTCACATGTTGTTGAATTCATAAATGTTGTACATAGTAGGGATATTTATGTCACCAAAAGAATATAAATATCATGAGAAATCATCTATCCCCTGTAGATCTTATTAATCTGATGGATCACCTCCAAAGTGGGGTGGAAAAAAATCAATAATACATCTAATAAAGCAGTAGTAGCAATGGGTGAACAATTGACCTAGCTAGCTAATACTCCTACACAGTTAATCACATGCATGTATGTAGCTAACCTATAGCTGGCTCTGTGTTGTTTGTCAGTGGGAAAGGAAATGGTGAACCCAGTCGCCCGTCCACTGGGCAGTTGACTCAATCTACTGCATTCTCAGCTCATGCAGGATGTCATCCAAGAACGACCACGTACGGTACGACCAATTCAGCAACTCTCTTGTCATTTTCCTTGAATATGATAAGCTTCGAGATCAATTCCTGCGGCAGCAGCTAGGTAGCTGCTAGTGCTGCTGGTTGTTGAAGAGATCCCAATAGTACGCACCGGCAGATGGAGATGGAGTCACCGTCGACGGCGACGGCGACGCTTCTTGTAACGACGACGACATCGTCACACTTTGATGACTTGCACCGGCGATGGAGGCGATGTTCATGCTACCACCACCGGTGGTTTCGTTACCAAGAAATGCCGGGCTGATGAGCCCGCCGAAGAGACTGATGCCCGGGTACGAGTTACCGGCCGGAGTCGGAGGTGAGAAGAAGCTCGGCGGGATCGCCGGGAGCGACCCTGGAGACAGGATGCTCGGGAACGGCGGCAGCAGGCTTCCTCCAACGACATCAGACGCGGCAGTGCCGCCTGAACTCCGCGCGGCCGCCGCCGCCGCCGCCTGCTGCTCAGTGGCGAGGCGTGCCGCGGGTGAGAGCTGGACCATCAGGTGATCGTACGGCACTGCCACGCCGGGTGCTTGTTGCTGCTGCTGCTGCAGCTGGAACGGGAAGTGCGGCGCCGCCGGCGGGAGTAGTTGTGCCGACGATGACGACGACGGCGCGTGCACGTACTGGTGGCCGCCCAAGAACGGGAATGGGATCGGGAGCGAAGACGACGTCATCTGAATCTGATGATGATGATGATGTGGCTCCGTCGTCGTCGCCCCTGGTGGCGGTGGCACTGGCACCGGCAGGGAGGAGGAGGATGCTGTGGTGCCGCGCGCGCCCGTGAGGCGCTGCACGACGGACATGAACTCGCTGGGTTCCGCGTGCACGACCTTGGGCGGCACCGTGTAGATGATGACCGGCTGGCGCACCTGCTGGACGGGTCCTCCTCCTCCTCCTGGCTGCGGCGGCGGGGGCTTCCTGATCTTGTGCGAGTCCTTGCGGACCTTGAGCGGCGCCAGGCGCGGGCCCTGCAGCTCCCGGCGCTGCTGCGACGTCGACGACGGCGACGAGGACGACGTGGTCGTCGCGTTAGAGGAGGGCTGGGGTTGCTGCTCCATGTCTAGACGACTTAGCTACCTGCTGATGGATATCGGAGCTCGATGGATGGATCGATGGGGCAGGCTTGATCGGCAGATGGATTGATCGATCAGCTAGGGTTTAATTTGGTTGCAAAATGGTCTATATATATGATCAGCTCGGGCTGGCATGGAGGGAATTGGGACAAAATTCAAGTGCATGAAATGCAACGTCGTCTCTTTACTCTGGTGACCAGGTAGACCGCACGTATATATAGACAGACAGGCAGACAGACAGAGATGAAAGAGAAGTAACTGAATGAAGTGTTTGATTTGACAGTTTAATTAACAACGCATCATGACATACTAGCACACACACACACACATGGAGTATGTATGTATGCTGTTTCCCTGTTTCGTAGGTTTGTTTGTCAAGATGGAGAAGAGGTCAAGCAAGGAAGTGAATTGAAAGCAGTCTAGCTCGATGGAGATCTGGCATGCATATGCAGTAGCTTCTCTGCTGCCACTGATGGATGCTGTATTTGAACAAGTCCAAGCAATTAACCCAGTGGATGTGCAAGAACAAAGTCAATATGTAGTACTAGTAGGATGGATGTGACGCAAGCAAGCAAGAAAGACCGTACCTCTTATGTATCCTCCTCGCTCCTGCATACTCATACATGGATGGGATGCGACACGATCAAACCTCCATCGCGAAGACATGTTTGAGTTTTTCCGCCACGTTTTGTTCCCGTTTCATTTCCATTTCCATTTTCCTTTTCAACCATGCATGAATTAATAGTTTTGTGACCAAGTCGTCGTGTGAATGAATGATTATATATATCCAAGCTAGCGAAGCGAAAAATCATGCGTGTGTGCTAATCCTGGAATCTATATATCTATATAGGAGTATATATTTTTCACATATATGCATTTATAGTTAACTGGAACCGTGTGCGATCCATATGATGACCATGATCCTCGTATTAGACTCTATTTGGCAGGGCTCCTCCGGCTCCAGCTCTGTGCTATAGTAACCAGAGGAGCCGTAGCCGGAGAAGCCACAAATCATGCCTCCTCCTGGCTCCTTGTTGTTTTGGATGACAGGTAAAAGAGCCCCTTGCCAGTGCACTCGAGGAGGAGCTAGAGCACTTCAAAGCCGTGCCAAATGGCCCGTTAATATATCGACAAGGATGTGACTTCTGCCTATTCACGATTGATAGGATCAAAAATTCGAGATGCATGTAGTGAGTGTTAGAGAGAGGCATACAATATAATATAACAAGATGAAGCACACTAAGACTACTCTTGACTTCAAACTTACAATTTAGAATTGAGGAAGCCTCCGTTTCAAATTGTAAGTTATTTTGGCTTTTCTAAATATATAGATATTGTTATGCACATAGATATATACTGTCACACCCAATTTTAAGGATAAAATTGAATGCACTAAACTCATGTGTGCCCAGGGATCAGTCACACACATAAGTTGACAAATTATAAAAAGTATCATCACGGTGTACCTTACATAACGAATAATAGCATCACATTGACTTACCTAACACAGCGGAAGATAAAAAGATAACTCTCTCGTGGAACTCCATCACAGGGACGGTCGACTGGTTGACCACAAGCCTAATAATCCTTAGGAAACTCCTTATATCCGTTGTCATCTGTTACCCATCCGGGATTTTTATCCAAATATTGAAAATTAAACAAGCGTAAGTACGTCCCGTACTCAACAAGATAACATGGGGTTCATGAGGCTCAAAAAGGATGACACTGGTTTACTGCAGTTAACACTTTTAGTAGATTCAAGATTTTATCCTCATCTATTATTAAGTTATGCTTAAGCTCCCTTTTAAACCCACGTGATCATATATCCGATCCAATAGAGTCATGTGACATCATCATAATCATCTCGTATAAACAACATTATAAGTAGCCATCTATTCTGTGAGTTTTCCGGGCCGCTCGTGACCGTGAGCACGGCTGTTATAACAGTTTGTTACCCTCTGCAGAGGTGGTGCACATTCACCGCGAGTCGTGATCCCCATATGCCCGGGTTAATTACTCCCATGTCACTTCCAAGGTGAGCGGGCAGGGTACACTATGAAGCCATTTCATAGGTTTCCCTAACAAGTTAGGGCCGCTAGGTTTCCTTGGCAGGCCAGATGTAGGAACCCCCCTTTCCTATGGCACATATCCATCGCGGCTATACACATAGGAACAGAGGCAGTCCTATACCCAACGTGGCAAGCCCCATTTGCGCCAAAAAGGTAACCTCTAACTAGCTAGAAAAGGTCCTATTACTGAGCTAAAGTCAGAGCCATATGACTCTCCCGGTTGCACTGTCAGTCCCAGCTTTTGCCGACAGATAAGTCCTTATGGAGGGCCGAGAGCAACATGAACAAAGGTCATTTGCACTTTCGCCCTATGGAACAGTTGTTATAAATCATGTTACTCACTTTGTTCCATAGTATCCTTCATCAACATGTATGTCAAGTTCAGTTAGAGCACTAGCAATCTACCCATATGCATTTAACCCATAGGAGACAAGGAACAGGATAAACAATCACTAGGATATCCTTACGGGTATCAAAATTAGACACATGCAAATGAGTAATTGATTAAGGTGAATAGGACATCAAGGAAGGCCCATGCTATACTTGCCTTGGTTCACAAACTCGTGCTGGTCCTGCTGGTCGTCGAAGAGTTCTTGGTCTCCAACGTTTTCCTCACCGTCTGAACGCGACCAACACGGCAACATACAACATTCCAAAAGCATTCATGCAAAGCAAACATTCCTATCATTAGAACAGTACACCAACAGTATTGAAATCAAGATAAAATGTTTGTAAAACTACTCTACGTTTCGCTACGATCACGTCAACGCGAAGTTCACGAAAAACAGAGCTAAAATGCGAAAGTTATGATTAAAACGGGTTTTCCTATAGCCCTATATTTAATTAAATCTAACATGAAATTAAAAAGTTCCAAACTTGACTAACAGTGGTTCTAACATGTAGATTATGGAATTACGAAACCAACACGATTTGAACGGATCAATTCGGAGCTAAAACGAAGTTTTTATGAGCAAAACAAAATCAGTGGCAAAATTGTAATTAAGGGAAACGTATTTTGAATCTGATAATGGAGATCTACGTTTTCAGAAAGAGAAAACGTAAAACTAGAGTACGCTAAGCACCGCGGGTTCTATTTCGGGAAAAGGGAGGGGCTCTTTAACAAATTTGCCACGACGAAAGGGTATCGGCCATCCTAGGCCGTTGGATCAAGGACGAATGGCTCCGATTAGAGATGGGAAGGAGAGAGAGTGCGCCATAGGAACAGGGCAGCCGCGGTGGCTCTCCATTGCCGTGGCGAGAGCTTCGCCGGCGTGGTCGGTTAAGGCCTTACGGGCCATGGTGTGACCAACCGAGGCCACGAGGATGATGATGAGGAGGATGGCGAGTCCATCCCGAGACAAAACATGTCGGGAATGGCTCGCTGGCGCCGCGCCATGACCCGGCATGAGAGCTCATTTGGCGCGCACCAAACGGCCATACAAGGCACCAATTGCCAAAGGAAGCGGTTGGGGAAGGAGAGGAGGGCACGGTGAATCTCACCACGGAGAAAATCGGAGGCGAACACGGCTCCGGAATGGCGGTCCACGCGGAGGGACGGACGGCGGTCGGCTGAGCTCGGAGACCTCGTGGCGGCGGTTTTCTCGGGCACGGCGACGCGAGAGGGAGCGGGGATCAGCAGCAGCGGGTGCGGGGACGGCCTCGGCTTCCTTTTGTAGAGGCAAAGGCGCGAGGGGGGCGCTCCCACGATGGCGCAAGACGTGGGCGCGGAGGCGGTTGCGGCTTGCGGCTTGACTGGCGCGGGCGAGCGGGAGGAGGGAGAAGCATCGGCAAAGCGGCCCGGATGGCAGCAAGTTGAAACGAGAAGCAAGGCGCTGCGCAGCGTTGCGTGCTCGGTCAGTGCATGGCGCTTGGCTTGCTGGTGGGCTGGCTGAAGGCTGCCGCCAGTCGCTGCTGAGAAGAAAGCCGGAAGAAAGGGAAGAGGGAAAAGGAGAAGGCAGCGGGGTCAGCGGTGAGAAAAAGGCTCTGCGGGCGAAATGGAGAAGGAAAGGAGGAATGGAAAGAAATTTCCTTTTTTCTTTTTATAAATAATTTTTTCCAATCTCATTTTCAAGGTAAATTTGAATTCAATTCAAATTTTAGTCAAAGCTAATCATTACAAAAACAAATGCGCAGCAGCATGAATGCATGAACATGTTTCTATTCCTTATATTTGATTTTAATTTCCCAAAAATTATTAATTTCCTATATTTGAATGCACTCAATATAACATAAATAAATCAAACTTACTATTTTAAAAGATTGCAAATTTTAGGGTGTTACATATACTTTATGTTTACATACATAGTATAAGCTATGTATTAAAAAAAGCCAGAACAATTTATAATTTAGAATGGAAGAAGTAGTACTACTAGAAAAATGATTTTAAGAGACATGCTCTTTGATTGATGAAGACGGCACACCTAGGAACCGCCTCCGTAAATGGTCAGGAAGACCTTGTGAAAATGCCCATCTCCAAAAATCACTTATGGAGGCGAGCATCTCAAAGATAGAGAGAGAAGATGAGTTCCATCGAGATGAAACTGAGCATACACACTTTCTAATTAAGACTTAGAAATTGTTCCATTTCACACAATAAATCATCACATAATAAATGTTTTCAGTAGCCTATATGCAACCTTCTGCAACTAAACTGAAACTACAAAAATAAGATTAGCTTAGTAGTAGGTAGTCTGCCCCCCATCAGTTACGAATAAAAAGCGAAGATTATTTGACGACATTAATAAGAGGATAGGGACTACATGCTACAAATAAATGAAAAGAAGGTGAAAACGGGTAATAAAGATTTTAATTAAGGTTGTTTATTAGCCAGTGACGAGATGACGCGTGGCGTGGTAGCAGCATCAGTTTCTGGATGCAGGCATGTAGCGGCGCGCACATGTCATGTCTCATGTTCAT